AATGAAAACAATTTTAACCCCCACACACATCCTTGCTCCTGTTGAATGACGCAAGAAGATAAAAAAGGGTTTTGTATGGAAATAAGAAATGCAAAATAATGTCAATACAGACAAATAAAACTGTTATATTTCCTTGCACAAGTTGAACACAAACATATGTTGTTTCAGTGATGTAACGTTGGTGGAAGTTGGATGGAAAAAGTTTTTTTGTAAAATGACCTGAATATGTTTTTCATCCAGATTGTTAGCGAGTCTTTGATGATTCTAGAAATATCTTCACAACAACAGCATTATCAAACAAATCCATGGGTTTATTAAAACAGATGGTTAGCTCTGTGACTCTAACAGTAAAATAGATACAAACGGAGGCTACTGATATATAATATAACTACAGCATCTCCATGATCTTTTCTTTGTAAATTAACAGAGATTCTTTTATACTGTAATAATATCATCATCAAATGAACGGGGATAATGTTCAGCAGCACTACTCTCCTCTCCACAGCTCGACTTGTTTCCAACTGACAGACAAAACACTAAACATTAATTAAAGATAATTAAACTTTACCAGGCAGCACTTCATAGACGTGTTCCACGACTATCATAAAACTTCATCATTCTTCATTATTTGCTTCAATCATTGAACTCAACCTACGTGGAAGAAGCCTCTATATGGGACAGGCCTTTAATTCCTTTAGCAAAAAACTCCTGCTCAGCAAAGACGGGAAATACCATCAAACTGTTCATTTAAACCAGCATGAATATTACTTGTATAAAACATATCAGTTACAAATCATTAATTTGATCAATTAATTAATTAATTTGATACTTGTGGTTTCTGATCTAATGATGTGTCCATATTGACAAAAGTTTAAACGTTTATTTTTGTGTGTGTATACTCGCTCAAGTGGGTGACCCGGTGGGTTTTAAGAGGTTTTATACATCCAAAGAATTTCTATAAAATCCAGGAGGTTTAATTGAGACCTACATTTATTTCTGTAGCCACACCAGGCTGGTCAAGGAGACCTGTTGGGACCCTGCTTTTAACTGAAGTTTTATGGTAATCATGGTGAAAGGACCCTATGATGTAGCTTCATATAAGTATTTTATTTAACAAATGTTATTCTTATGTTTGTGCAAAACACCTAAACTAAAAGGCTGCTCCTGGTTTTTAGTATTGCCCTTTCATACAAGAGAGAGATTAAAGAGATAATGATCAAGGCCGAGATATTCTGACTGAGGTCATGCTACAAAAAACACATTTCCCATAATGCAATGTGATAGCATATTTCATTAAACCCTCCACGAGTAATAAATGGCCACTTCTTTTAGTTAGAGCAGTGAAGAATAAACTGAACTTTGTGTGTAGAATTGGTGGAGTGCTCCTTTAAAGGTTTTATTAACTGAATAACAGTGACAACTTTTATCTTTCTGAGGATCTCAACTCAAGGACAAATCACTTTAGAGAGTTAGAACCATCTCACACACAAAATCTGTTGTTTTTTACTTAGAGGTAGGTCCGGCTTCCTCCACTGGTCCCATTTTTCCGTCTCTTACTGGTTGGTTGTTTCATGACTCTGCTGCCATCTGGAGGACTAATTTCTGCTTTTTTCTCTCTCCAACAAGTCCTCATGCAGTCTCTTCTGCCTCACAGACCTGACTGTCATGTAGAGCACTTCTTTTCCACTGTGTTAGTATAAAGAGTAGGAAGAGAAAATATTTTTATTTAGTTTAGTTTATGTGGTAAAGTAGAGACAAACACTTGACAGGATGTTACAACTAATAACTAATCTGAAAACTGAAACTTGAGAGTGGAAGTAATCTCAGCAGCCTGCATCCTTAAACCAAAGTCTCTCACTGAATAAGTGAGGGCAGCTCCAGTGCCATAAAACATGTCAAAATCAGTAGACACAGAGTGTGACAATAAACGCATTAAAATATGTTGCAGAGTTGTAATCTGTGATTTATCTTTCATATATTATAAAAGTCGCTTTTAACTGCATGTCACGCAGCCTGTCATAGAGGTGGTGTTCGTGTTCTCATCACTTGACATAAGGCATAATTAATATGTGGAGTGAGGGGAGTGGCCTCCTTTCTCTTTAAGGGACCTTTTTTCTATTGTTGAGTAAATTTACAACCTGAGTTGTAACATATTAGTGACATGACATATTATATTTGGTGCACAACAATAAGAGTAGAGAACATCTGATAACACTAATAGTGAACACAATAACTGCAGGAAGTCTCCTCTGTCTGTGTTATGTATTTTATTTTTTATTGTTAACAATCATACATACTTAATAGGTTTCTTTTCGATAAATTCAGTGTTTTATTCTCATTGTTCTATTAACTCTGTGGTTGTTTTTACTGCCTACTTTTCTAATGCAGAGAGTGAAGGCTCTGTGAATACAGCTTGTCTTCAGCTCTTCAAATTTGAAAACTTTAATAATAACATTCAGTTTTTGTCACAGATATTAATGAAATGCTGAGATACAGGCC